TCCATATCCCTTGTCCTCAAAACAAACTGCTGCATCCAAATGCCACAGACTATAGGAAAGGGAGGCTGTCTGGCTGGGAAAGTGATAAAGATGCTTAGGTAGGAGAAAAGGCAAGTTAACCAGCCTGTGAAATCCTTCCCCTTGGAGGGTGTGATGCTAGAGCTACCTGCATAGGCAGTATTGTTATATATATATGAACAGGCAAGCAAACTGTGCTGGGTAACAGAGTCAACTTCGCAAGATCTAGAATCACCTAGGAGACAAGCCTCTGGGCACACCGGTGAGGGAGTATACACACAGACTGAGTTAAGGGAGGTGAGAAGATGCGCCCTGACTGTGGGAGGCATCACTTCATGGGCTGAGATCCTGGAAAGAGTGAGCTGAGTCCTAGCACGTCTCTCTATCTCTGCTTCCTGACTGTGGGTTCAATGGGACCAGCTACACTCTGCTCCTGTCACCAGACCTTCCTGCCGTGGGAACTGTGTGACCTGAAAGCCAAAATAAACCTTCCCTTCCCTGAGTTGCTTTTGTCAGATATTTTGTAGCAGTAACGAGACAATATTGTAACTAATACAGGAAAGAAAGGAAGGAGAGAGAGAGGGAGGGAGGGAGGAAGGAAGGAAGGAAGGAAGGAAGGAAGGAAGGAAGGAAGGGAGGGAGGGAGGGAGGGAGGGAGAGAATTTCATACACCTTCCTATGTGACTGTGGATGAATTACTACTACCCCTCTTGAGCTAATAGGACTAAGGAGGTAGCTCATGCTTAGCGTTTGTGAAACCCTAGGTTTGATACCCAGCACTGCAACATAAATAAATTAATTAAAGCTGGGCATGGTGGCACTCGTTCGCCTAATTCCAGCACTTGGGAGCCAGAGGCAGGGATCTCTGTGAGATCAAGGCCAGCCTGGTCTACATAGTGAGTTCCAGAACAGCTGGGGCTACAGGGAGACCCTGTCTCAAAAAGACCAAAAAAAAAAAAAAAATTAAATAATTAATTAAAATTAGGATAATAACAATATCCACTTCACATAGGAGTTTGTTGCCAGGGAGATGCTGTGTAAAGCGGTTTGCATAGTATGAAGCACAAGAAGCAGTCATCACATGTAGTTGGTTTTGAAGTTGGGGATTTAACTCAGTGGTAGAGTATTTGCCTATTAAGGGGTTGGGGAATGACGAAATTGCAAATGTAGTTGGTTTTGCTATTCTACCGAGATGTTCAGCACAAAGACAGCAGAAATCCTACCCATATCGCTTACATGCAGTGTTCACTGAGCCCAATAGGTGCTCAGAAAAACAAACGTTTAATGGCATTTTCCCCTCTGTGACTGCCCGCTGTGTGTCAGGGTGGTGCTAGGGGCCTGGCTCTGCTTGGAGTTGCACCCCTCTGAGGGGCAGGCGCCAGAGCCAGGCTATTGTTGTAGTTAATTCTTTCCCATATGGAAGCCCCAAATTAGAGGGGAGCTGTTGCTTTGCTCTGTGGGCTGGAGGGCAGATACCAGGCCAGCAAGAGTCCCTGCCTCAGTGCAAGCCTAGTCCCCTCCCCAAACTCAATTTTCTGTATCCCATCTTCTCTTTAAGCTTCTTGCCCTCCCTGAGACCCCAGCTCCAGCTGCCCTCTGACCTGGCTGTCCTACCCCCAGCCCAATCAACAGACCTCTCCTCAGGCCTTCCTCAAATCCCTTCCTCTTTGAAGCTTCCCACCCCACCGGGGCAGAACAAATCGCCCCTGCCCCACCCCCTGTCATCAGCTTTGTTCCCTTTTCTGTGCACAGTGCTGCTGTGTCCTCCATGATCCTGCCTGACCCGCAACCACCTTCCCAAGCTGAGTTCTTCATTGGCCTGAGACACCCCTGCCCCATGCTGATCCCTCTGCATAGGGCAAGTGTCCCAAATGATCTGCTGCCGGCAGCAGAGGGTGAAGCTGGGGGTCAGGGAGATGTTTAGGCCAGAGGTGTCAGGCCAAGTCTGAGGGCCAAGTGGTGGAGGGCCAAAGCTGGAGTCAGATTCATCCACTGTTTCCAGAGTGCTCCAAGGTACTGGTGCTTTCATGACATCTTCATACTGCACAAAAGCCAGATCTTAACATTCCCATTTGACGTGAATGCTCACCCAAAGAGGTTAAGTATCTTTTGGAGGCTGCACAATGAATAGGAAGTCAGGATTAGAATACAAGGCAGGGCTGAGTTGTGGATTGTTGTGACTAGCCATGATGATGGGGCAGACAAGAGTCTCCTATATAACACTGTGGGGGATTGGGTTCTGAAGCCAGATCTTGAAGGGTCCCCCTGCCCTAACTCACTGTTCCTGACACTAACAAGAGGTGTCCCCACCCTGGTCTTCCCGACAACCCTCTCCAGAGAGGAGCAGATTCTGACTCAGGCCCATTCCCAGTTCAGGTGATCCGGGAATCAGATATAGGAAGGAAACAACCCCCAGACATGGCCTCCCCCTCCCCCAGGCTCTGGCTAGAGGGCCGGAAGGAGCCACTTTAAAGATCTCCCTGGGGACCCATGACCGGAAAGAGAAGATACGGCCCTTGTCAAGTGTGGTTGAGAATTGAGGCCAGCTGGACAGAGGGACAAGGACACCTTGGTACAAGTAAGCTGTCACCTTTCAGATTGTGAGCTCCCTGAGAGCAAGGATCTCAAGCCCCCCATCCCTCACTGAAGAACCCCAGGAGCAGATCAGGGTCACTGTCCTCTGAGGTTCCTTAAGTGGAGCTACCTCCACTCTGACTGAGCACTGAGAAGAACCAGGCTCAGTTCTGCCACTTGGAAAGCAAGACAGTTTGGCACCTGTGTTACCCCCTGGATCCCCCTTCCTGTAGTCTAACATCTATCCTTGATCACCAGAACAGAGGGCGCCTGCCAGAACTTCCACCCAACCCGGATGCTTCTTTAAGACCAAAGGGATGGGGGTTGCTTCAGTCGGACACCAGGCCCCATCCTCCCCCTGGCAGGCCAGGTTTCCTGCCATTGACAGCATCCCAGCTGGGCCCTGCCCAGCACCCTCCCAACCCCCCTTACTTAACCCTTTCATGTCCAGGCCACAAGGCTACTGGCCTGTCCTGGCATATATTAATCTCTCAATAAAAGTTACCTATTGGGTGAAGACTTTAACTGAGTTGGTGGAATACTTGCTTAGCACGGACAAGGGTCTGGGTTCCGCTTCCAGCACTATAGAGCACAAAACCAGGCGTGGTGGCTCATGCCTGTAACCGCAGGACTCTGGAGGAGGAAGCATCAGGATCAGAAGCTCAAGGCCAACCAGGACGACTTGAAACTGTCATAAAACAAAAAGTTAGCAATTATTCCTCATCATGTGACTGTGGATGTCATTTCACGTCTTTGAGCCTTGGTCTCTTCAGCTGTAAATGGGAAAGATGATAAAGCCTAAGCTCGAAGATTGATCTTAGGCTGTGTTATGACAATGTACTTAAAAGCATTTTGTAAAATGTTATTAACAACACAATTTGGAACTGTCACGGACCAGGAAAGAAAAAAAAAAAACCACGGACTTGGACCCCTTCCCCTTCATAACAGTGGGTTCAGGGACCCCAGGAGGTCGGACTGGCGGAGGGGGGATTGGAGCGGAGGTAAGACTGAGGAACAAGCAGAGTACTTCTGAAGTGCTGGGTTTCTCCTTCACATAAGCAGAGTCCAAAAAGCAGGAAGGCTCTTGAAGTCCGAAGGTAGAAGACCAAAAGACTCAGGCTTGGCCCAGAAAGCGTCTCCCACCCCCTCTTCCCAGCTAGCCTCATTTGCCATCGGGGTGTGTGTGTGGGTGTCACCTGGGTTCTACCACACAGTTCCAGCCATTTCTTGGCAGATGATGAGCCTTGGGTTCTCGGACTCTTGGCCTTGCCAGACAGGTGGGGAATATAGTAGAGAAAGGGAATTTGGAGGTGAGATCTGCCTCTTGGCTCATTTCCTTCCTTATTAAGTGGGGCACCATTCCTGCTGAGCCTCATCTAGGTTCCATGGGGGGCAGTCAAAGGTGATCAGAGAGCACAGATGGAAACTGCCTTGCAAACATTAAAAGTGCTGGAAGGGAAGAGATTTATGCTAAGTGGGTTGGCTACAATGTGTAGAGAGAAGGCAAAGACCAAAGACCAGAGCCTAGCACTGGCCTTTGAACTCTGGGTACTGGAGGGGTCACCTGCTGATAGGGGTGGGGCTCCTCTGTTGAAGAGCGCCTTCCCTTGAGATAAATGGTGTCAGAATAGAGTCTGCCAGACTCTAAGATTCCCTAAGGAGGGGACCACAGGTTGGCAGCTCAGCCTCCCTCCCCCACAAAGCCCCCTTATCACCCTCTTCCAAGCTAGCACCATGCCATCATTAGGACTGTAACAATGAACTCCTGCTTAACCCTCATGTTAAGTCTTGCTGGAACAGGTTTCCTGACACATCTGCAGCACCATTGCACCCACCCTTAGGCTACAGATGCCTGGGCTCACCCCAGGAAGAACAGGCTTATCCAACCTCCAAAGGAAGGATCAGGACAGGCCTAAAGTTGTCAGAAGCAAAAAGCAAATGGAATGCCGGGCTTGGTGGCACATGCCTTTAGTCCCAGCACTCAGGAGGCAGAGGAAGGCAGATCTCTGTGAGTTTGAGGTCAGCTTGGTCTCCAAAATGAATTTCAGGCCAGCTGGGGTTACAGGGAGAGCCTGTCTCCAAAAAAAGTAAATGGAATAGCCTTCCAGTCTGTCAGAGCATCAAGACTTCAGAGGGAGCTGGGGATCAGGAAGTCTTGTTTGGGGTCTTGGTTCTTCAGCCCCACATTTGTGGTGCCTCCATGGCAACCATTGAACCTGACAGGGCCTATCTAACCATCTATAAAATAAAGTCCTGTCAACACTAAGATTGGTCAGGAAGGAGTTAATTAAGTCTGGGCTCTGGGTCAGGAAGGGTTAATCTGGGGGGTGGAGGCTCTTGGCTTTTCCTGTGGAGAGTGAGGCTTGGCTGCTACCAAAGCTACTCCTAGTCCCCACTCACCCCCCTGCCCTCAGTCTGGACCTTCCCAGGGACCCTGCAAGATAGCCTCCAGACCCAGAGGTGAGTACATCTGAGCCCAGTGCTGGGTGGGAAGGCACCAAGGTGGGAAGGCACCTTGGAAGTCAGAGAAGCTGGTGCCAAGCCAGAGTCTAGAAGTGGGACCGACTAGTACCAAAATGGCTGAGTGGGTAGAGTTGGGACCACTAACTCCAGGGCTGGGAGAGGGTAGGCAAAGGGGCAGAGGGGACAAGGGTGGCTGCCAGTCCAGGGTGGGCCGTCTGTGGTCAGACATCAAAGCCAGTCGAGAAAGCATGGAAAAGGCAGGGGACATGACTATTTTGGTCTTTGTGTTTAGGGACTTTTTATAGTCTTCCTACTCATAGCTGAGGAGAGGAGAGGACAGGGAGCACTCATGAGGTCAGTCAAGCACAGTGCCCTTTTGGGACCTTGGAATCTGACCCATTGCCCAGTGCCTAATCTCTTGAAAAAAGAGATTAGGGCACTGGCAGGCTGTCATTGCTGTCTGAGCCCTGGTTGCCCACAGTCTGAGAAGACTTACCACATACTAGATGGGAGCTTGGGAGCGGGTGGTGGTAAGGGAAGAAGAGCAGGTTGGGCTGGGGGCTCGGGTTACCCACATCTCTACCCTGAGGCCTCCATGGGTGTGTGGGTGGGGCAGTCTTCACACATCCTGAGCTAGTCTGACCCTTTGTTGCTTCCATACCCAAAGTCCTCTCTGAGCCCAGGACCAGTATGTCCCTTTCAGCTGTGTGGGGATGGGAAATAGGAGAAACAGGGGTAAGTGTGTTGAGCCATGTGGGTGGCCCCTTCTGTTAACTGACAAGGAAACTGTCAGTTCTTGATTTACAATCCCTCCTGCCCTTTTCCCTTGCTCAAGGGAGGTGTAAGAGAAGGAGAAGGGTCAGAGGTCTCAGGATGGGAAGGGACAAGAGGGCAGGGACCCCCGAAGGCAGATTATTTCTGGGTGTGCAAGTTATTAGGAAGAATCAGTAGAAGAAACTGCTTAGTGACGCTAGGGACAGAAACAGAAACCACAGGTACAGAAACCAAACACCAGGGAGAAATTCTGACAGGCAAGCAAGGGGTCCAAGCTGAACTAGCTCTGCACAGCGAGGCAAGGAACCTGGGTTTCAGAGAGTGGGACCCTCACTCTCAAAAGGACCCATGGAAGCCCTCTCCTCTCTAGGTTGGTGTCCTGGCCTCTGAAAAGGCCTTGTAGGGGTTGGACAAGGTGATGTTTACAGTTAAGGTTTCTGGAATCTCCTTGGCTGGGGCACAGAGTGGTTGGCAGGGGCTGGTTTATATGACCTGGGGACCACCACCCTCTTCTTCCTGAATGGCCCTGCTGGGCTTGGGCAAGGAAGTTGGCTGCAGTTACTGGAGGTTTCTACCCTATGGTTATGTCCCTGACCTTGGTGCTTGGAGGCGGGAAGGGTGGGCCCACTGGAGCCAGCCTGTGGCTGGAGAACCTCCTTGTCTTGGGCTTGAAGTTGCTGGGTTGGGAAGAGGTATTTTTTCCGGTTAAAGTCACTTTAGAGCATTGGGCTCAGACCAGCCCCCACTTTCCTTTTCAAGTATCCTGCTTGCTGATGCCTGTGTGCATGGCTCTGTAGCCAGACTGCAGCACCCTCAAAGAATCACCTAATGCCTCTGAAGAATAGGGGTAGGGTGGCCCCAGCTTCTGCTCCCTGGACACAGGACCAGCTGACTCAGATCAGGGAGGGGTGGCTGGGTCCTACACTTGAGAACACCTGAAGAAGACGGTGACAGCCTGCCCTCTTGACAGTTCTCCCCTTTGCAGGCCCCAAGAGCTGCAGACAATTATTCTCTGGTCTTCAGCTATCTGTGTTTCTCCAGCGGTGTATGGGGGACTGACCCGCCTAGTTCTTCTAAGATGCTCCTAGCCTCTCCCTCCACACCATCCAGGGGACGAACCCCCAGCGCCGTGGAGAGGCTGGAGGCTGACAAAGCCAAGTATGTCAAGACGCACCAGGTGATAGTACGTCGCCAGGAGCCAGCCCTGCGCGGGGGACCCGGGCCGCTCACCCCACACCCTTGCAATGAGCTGAGCACCCCGGTATCGCCCAGGGCACCTGGGCCTGCCCGCCGGGGTAGTGGCAGGAGACAGCCAAGGCCTGATTCCCTTATCTTCTACCGTCAGAAGCGGGACTGCAAGGCTTCGGTGAACAAAGAGAATGCCAAGGGTCAGGGGCTGGTACGACGCCTCTTCCTGGGCAGCCCCCGGGATGCTGTCCCGAGCAGCCCAGGACCCACCGAGAGACCCACGGCTCCTGGGGGTTGGGCTGGATCCCAAGATGTCCCGGAGGCGGCGGGGAAGCGGCCTCTGTGTCCCACGTGCTCGCTGCCGCTGTCGGAAAAGGAGCGCTTCTTTAACTACTGCGGCCTGGAGCGCGCGCTGGTGGAGGTGCTGGGCGCAGAGCGCTTCTCTCCGCAGAGCTGGGGCACCGACCGCAGCCCCCACAACGGAACTTCGCCGCCGCCACCCGGCTCTGGGGACACCAGCGACTGCACATCCAGCGACCCGGGGAGCCAAGACTGTGCGGGAGGCGGCGGCTCGGAGGCGGCGGGGTCGGCGCGGGACGGACGGCCTCCGGTGTCGGTGGTGGAGCGCAACGCGCGTGTCATCCAGTGGCTGTACGGCTGCCAGCGCGCCCGCGCCCCGCCGCGCGAGTCCGAGGTGTGACCCCCCCGGGGGGGGGACACCGGCAGGCACAGCATGCTTCTGCAGCCCATGGACAAACCCTCCTGCTGGGCCCCAGTTCCCCCCGGTCTGCACCCCAGATGAGATGGGACAGCATGGACCCGGCGCAGACGCCCGGAAAGAGGATAGAGTGGCTTTGTGGACTCTATGGAGGTTGTATGCGAGGAGTGATGGACTGGGATGAGAGAGGAGCAAACTACCGAATAAAACTAACACGTAATTTAAACGGATTCTGAGTTTGGTTTAGTGGGCAGATATTGAGGGAAGGATCCAGCAGGTTTGTGTGGTTCGGTGTGCGAGTGTGGAGGGTGGGTTCCAGGCTGAATGTGACTTTGGCTATGCACTCAACTTCTCTGGGCTTCCTGGTTATTAATGGAGGGAGAGAGTAGCAGATAAAAACGTTCTGAAGTCGTGTGTGATGCACGGGGCAGATGTGCCTGGAATATAGACAATGCTCAATAAATCGCAGCTGCAAGTGGCTACTGAGGGTTCCCCGAGCTTTGCTGCCCCCGGTAGTCACGAAGAGGGGCTGAGAGTTGGCGGACCCACAACTGAGATCACTAAAATGTAAGGCTCTGATGTGTGTGTTTATGTATGTGTGTATCCCAGGCTGGCCTCAAACCTACTGTGTAGACGGGACGGTTTATGTGGCACTGAGACTTAAGCCCAGGGTTTCATGCACTGGAGGCAAGCACTGTATCGATGAACTGCATACCCAGCACCCTTACTTTTTCCTCTCTCAAGAACACACTGAGTCACCTGTTTTCTTCACAGGGTCTAGTTTTGTTCATGATCCTTCTCCCCCGACTTTGATTTCCTTCTCTTTCTCTGCACTCTTTCTTCTAGGATCACATATATTCTCCTTGGGAAGCCTCCCCCAACTCCCAAGTTGGCCTCACCTCTCCAGGCTCCCATGTGCAGCCCTAGTTTGTCTCAACAAACCATTGTGTGGGACCTGCTGGTAGGGTTGTCTCATTAGCTTCCGTTTCTATAAGACAGTCCCTCACAGGTCATTGGATCACTTGCAACGTCTGTCATATAAAATGGGTCTGGACAGGGTGATGGAGCGGGTCTGATGTGGCTTTCCTGGGAAAGTTGCACTTTAAACCCAAGGCCATCCACCCTGACCGTTGGAATGTTTCTGTCCCTTTTCCCCAGCATGCTTGTCGGGAAAGGAGACAAGAAACCCTCTAGCCAGCTCCTGCCAGAGATCGCCCACCTAAAAGTAGCTTTTTCCTGTTGTCCAGAAAAAATGACGCAGACACTCGGGGTGTGGGTCCAGGAGTTCTTTCTGGCAGGCAGGGCAGGGCGGGCGCCGGCTGCACTGGCCGGCTACTCGCCCTTGGGCGCGGCCTTCACCCTCATCTCGGCCAGTTTGTGGGTGAGGAAACCCCACTTGAACCCTGCTGCGGGGTCGGCCTCCCGCGGCTCGGGGCTCCGGGCGGCCTCAGTGGACTCGTCTCCCGGCTCCGGGTCTGGCTCTACGATGGTCTCCACGCTGCGGAACACCGATGCGGCCACCGCCTGTTGCTGCTGCCACCTGCTGGCAAACGCGTCCCAGAATCCCGGCCCTCGAGGCTCGGGCTCCGCTGCCACCTGCGAGGGGGGCCGGGCGGCCAAGGGGCTGCGGGAGAGGGGTGGGGTCAGCCGAAGGCCTAGGGGTCCCAGCCGGGGACCGCGGAGAGGAGGCCGGGACTAGAGTCCAGCAGGGGGCCCCCGGGAGTCCTGGCGAGGTCTGGGCCTGCCGACAAGCTGAGGGAGGGTTCAGAGACGCTAGGAAAAAAGTCAAGCCCGGAGATGAGGTGAGAGGTCTGGGGAGACGTGAATCAGGATTGAGAAGGGACCCTGGAGGACATCTGAGAGAAACACCTGCACCAGGTCTGAAAAGTAGGGAAGGGTCTCTGAGATGGGTGGGGCAGGAGGATGTTGAGGGAGAAGTGGGGTCGGGTCCAGTTTAGGTCCCATAGGAAGGAAGCCCAGAGGGACAAGAAAGGGGCAGGTGAGAAAAGTGGTTAGGTTCTAAGAGTAAGGGAACCCGGGAGAAGGTGAAGAAAATCCTAGCACATTTAGCCAAGAGGAGGTGGTAGGTGGAAGATATGCTTTGGGGGTGGGGGGAGCTGTCAAGAAGGTAGGGATACTTCAAGAAAGGCTCCTGCAACCTGGAAAGGCCTTAGAGGACTTGGGTATGGCGGGGGGGGGGGGGCCTT